GGTATTTCTGAGCTGTATTTGATATATTTCCCCAAATATTGTTGTTGCAGAGTGCATATTACGGCGGCGGTGGACAAAAATAACAAATCGGATGAACAATATATATGGGAGCTATAGCTATATCTGAACCGATTTCGATCAAATTTGGCATACATATTTTCAGGCCTAATTAGGGTGTATATACAAAACTCCATACAATTCGGGCTGATCTTACACGTTTGGTGCACAATAAAAGGCAAATCGGACGAAGATATATATGGGAGCTATATCTAAATTTTGACCGATTATCTCTAATTTCAATAGGGTTCGTCCTTGAGCCAAACAAATGATCTGTGCAAAATTTCATCTGGATCGGGCAATAAATGCGACCTGTACTTTGTTTACAAAAATACATGGACAGACGGACGGACGGACATGCATAAATCGACTCAGAATGTGATTCTATGCAGATCATCAAAAGGAACTATGGGTCTATCTCGTTTCCTTCTGCCTGTTACAAACAAATGCACAAAGACATAATACCCTGACCACCTTGTGGTGTAGGGTATAAAAAACCGTCCTTGTAAAATTCAAAACTAACGATTTGGTTCGAGCTGTCAAAAGTTTTAACAGAAGTAGGGGTAACTAGTAATTTATTCGAATTGTTAAAATACTAGTTCTATAGATTTTAATAAACCAAGGAATGTAAAGAACAATGAGCTTCTAAATATATAGCCACTTTTCTCAATATAATTACGTTCTCTCATTGAAATTAGCTAATTGAAATAAACACATTATTTATTATTAAGTCGTTGCTGAAGTGTATATGAACATAATTATAATTTTACTCTCTATAATTTAAAATCAAAAGTTTAAATGATTGCTCTTTCGCTGGCACAACAAATTATTTACAAATGTGAATCATTAATAATATATATTTATTATCTACATAGCGCCGTCACTGAATGTCACCACAAGAAATGTTGTGTCGACACTCTAATGAATTTTTCCAGTAAGTTATCGTTCTAAATCTTTAAACATATTTTTCGTTGAAATATAATGATGTTTAAAACTTTTGCTGCTGACTTTGTATCTGGAGCATAACCAATTAAACCGTACGTCATTCAAACATAGGCTAGATACTTTCCATTTTTCTTTTTACATTTTTTTTGCCAAGAATTTGACAATTTTAAATATAATAAATTGTAATATACAATACTTAGTTAGGTCGGCTACATGGTACCCTACACCACTATACGTATTATCCGTAATAAATAAATGTTTATGTTGGAAATTTGTGTGAAGTAAATCAAGCCAACTACGGTCATTATTGAACTTGAAAATCGGACGGCAACCATATTTAACCGATTTCCACAATTCCATTTCCCATTAGCACGACAGAGATACAGGGCAACTTGTACGAAATTTTGTTTGACTCTGGTCAAAACAGGCACAACTCCTTTTGCCAGGCCGCTGAACATATCAGCACTGCTTGAGTTTTTTTCAATAATTCCAAATTGTTAGAAGGATAATATCCTAATTATCATTTAAACTTCATCACAATGGAGCATAAGGCTTAAAAATCATACTTGGATTACAACACACTTAGATTAGATTATATAAACTAATTTGAAAATTATTGTCTGATGTTCGAAGCTTTAATGAACCACAATTTAATTACCAATCTATTTTATTAATAAAAATCATTAATTAAAATCAATCTGATTTCACATATCAACGTAGGAGTTCATCGACTCAGTGCCAAAGAGTTCCCATTGTAATTTTTATGTGTGCATAAATATTGTAATTAAATATTTGAAGAGTTTTATTTTATTGTTTTGACTTTTTTTTGGTGTCGGTGCAAATTTGATAGTTGTCTGTAGACACCATATCCTACACCACCACTAGTGTATATTATTCTTTTGTAGTTAGATAAACAGTTTATTATACTAAATGTGTTCCTACTTGCTTCAAATTATGCGTCGTTACCTGAGCTTTATTTACTTAGACCAGAAAAATGACATACGGAACACTTGAGCATTTACCGAATTTTCCTACTACCCAATTGTTATGGTCATATTATTTAATCGCCATATAATTATATGCATCGGTAGTCATTATGAATTACATAGCCAAGGACATTGGTTATGCATGTATGTATGTATATTATGATAGTTAGCAGTAAATTGAATCTTGGACACAATTGGCTGGCGGCGTAACGACGTGCTAATGACTAGATGTGGGAATGACATCATTTGTTTGTCTGCCATTTGAAAAAGAAAACGACAAAGCCATCGCAGTTATTCTGAATGGCACAATAAACAAATAGAAGTGGATAAAAGTGAATAAAAAGCAAATAAAAATCTAGCTCTTATTGCTCCCAAAATCCATTAAAGAATATTCTTTTACTATAAAATTGAATGTTAGTGAAACGATTCCAGCAAATGACAATCCATTAGATTTAATCGTTGTTTTTGGATTAAGTTTGAACATTGTCTAAGGAGACAACTTTAATTTGCACTCAATATGGTAATATAAGACGAAGACTTTGCATTGAATAGAGCTTTTTGATAGGCAAATTGGATGCTTAAATTTACAACACATGTTTAAGTTGTCTTATCTTTTGTCTGCAGTCAGGTCAAGTTTGAAGATAAGCTATATTGGTACACGTTTTCGTACAGCCCCATATAAAGTTACCTCCCGATATTCGATATGTTTACGGTTCTAGAACAGAACAGTATACTATTTTGCAATTGGATCTTCCACATGTGACACAATAATTTCTGAACAGTTTCACGTTTTCCTATAGCCCCCATATAATCGTAGCTTCCTATATTCGGTATTTTGATGAGTTTAGCATCAGTTTCTAGTGGAATAGATTAAAATTTGGTATTTATAGTTAAAAAATGACTATATCTCCTGTAGCAAAACATTATCTATACAAGTCCACGTTTTCGTATAGCCCCGATGTAATTTTACTTCCCGATATTCGCGTCGAAGCCACGTTTTCTAACGGAATATTTTTTTATTCGGTATTTTTATATTATAGAGTTTTCTACCTCATGTGGCAGAATATTGTCTTAATAAGTCCACGTTTCCATATAGCTCCCGTATAAAGGTACCTCCCTATATTCGGTATTTTGACGATTTAAGCCACATTTTCTAAGGGATTTCGTGATGGGTTCTTCTTCTTATATAGAACAATTTCTATATAAGTCAAGATTTTTCGATAGCCCACATACTTCGGTATTTTGATGATTGTGCCGACTTTTTACAGAGTTTATTTGAAATTTATATTAGATGTTCCTCATGAGAGAAGTGACGCATACCACTAGAATACTAGAATTTCGGCATTCACAGACGTATTTATACCCTACACCACAAGGTGGTCAGGGTATTATGTCTTTGTGCATTTGTTTGTAACAGGCAAAAGGAAACGAGATAGACCCATAGTTCCTTTTTATGATCTGCATAGAATCACATTCTGAGTCGATTTATACATGTCCGTCCGTCCGTCTTTCCGTCCGTCTGTCCGTCTGCCCATGTATTTTTGTAAACAAAGTACAGGTCGCATTTATTGCCCGATCCAGATGAATATTTGCGCAGATCAAGGACCAAGGACGAACCCTATTGAAATTGGAGATAATCGGTCAAAATTTAGATATAACTCCCATATATATCTTCGTCCGATTTGCCTTTTATTGTACACCAAACGTGTAATATCAGCCCGTATAGCCCGTATATATGTACGTACGATCAGATTGGACCTGAAAATAAGTATGCCAAATTTGATCGAAATCGGTTCAGATATAGCTATAGCTCCCATATATATTGTTCATCCGATTTGTTACTTTTGTCCTCCGCAGCCGTAATATGCACTCTGTAACAATGATATTCAAGGAAATATATCAAATACAGCTTAGAAATATCTTTGCCAATTTATATCGAAATCGGTTCAGATTTGGATATAGCTCCCATATATAACTTCGTCCGATTTACATTTTATTGTGCACCAAACGTCTAATATTTGTCTAAATGGGATGGAATTTGGCACTTAGGACCGAATTTAGTCTATAAGCTAGTATGTCAAATTTGGTGAAGATCGATTCAGATATAGCTATACCTCCCATATATATTGTTCATCCGATTTGTTATATTTGTTACCCACAGCCGTAATATGCACTCCGTAACAAATATATTCAGGGAAATATATGAAATACAGCTCAGAAGTACCTTTGCTAAATTTTATCGAGATTGGTTCAGATTTGGATATAGCTCCCATATATATCTTTATCTGATTTCAAATTAATTTTGCACCAAATGGGCAATACAAGTACGAATTTAAAAGATACAAATGCTTCGGCATATTTAGTCTTTTGAACTTTATATTATAATCATAGCGTGTATGAAATTTAATTGTTATGCGGAGCTCTACTAAGTTCGCAAAGTGGTGTTGGGTATCATAACGACGGCCCCGGCCGACTTTAAGACTTTCTTTACTGGTTTTATATTAGTTACTTTACTGTTTTTATACTTGTTTGATTTCTCTTCCTCTTTACCGACTCTGAAAGAGAGCCAATAAAATAAGAAATATAATCCTGGGCCGATACTGCCCATTTTCTACACAAATCATCCTAGACATATTCAAACATTTTTTAAACCAAAAAATATTTGTTACTTATCTTGATTATGATAGACTGACGCAGATAATTCTACGTTCTTACAATTTCATGATGATAAGGAATATGTACAAGATATGGATATCCAAAAATATTTTTGAAGTGTTACAAAAGGAATGTTTTTTTACTATTGGTGTTTTGCAGTATTCAATTGATATCCTTTATCACAATTTTTATTCAAATTTTTAGTCAAAATCAAAATAATTCAACTATTATTGTCAGTAAACTTTAACTTCGTACTATTTTGCGAAAAAGATTACTTTTAAGTTTTAAGAAAGAAAAAAAAACACGTAAGCTATTTGTTAACCTCCATTCTTCTGTTCATCCTTTTTTTCAGATGCTACACTGCTGAAGCCATAACATTGGTTATTGTATATAATATATACATAAAACAACTTGCCTTGAAATTTTAAATAACATCATAATCAAACAGCAATTTACGTTCGTTTGTAAACACACTAACAAACTTATAAGCGTATTATGTCCTCAAAGGATTTGGCTTAAATCCACAAACGTTAGAACAACAATTTCAATATGAAACCTAAAGGATTTCATTCAGAAGACCACAGTAAAGATATTGACATTATAACCAACCAACAGCAAAGTCGAGCAATTTCCGATGACAAAATGGCGGCGATGCATGCAAATGTACACAAAGGAATACCCAAAGTAAACAACCGGATACAAGACAAACATGAGGACAACGATATGATCCTTTACCATAAACCTCGAACAAATCATAGAACATGGCTAAAATGGTTAAGTCACTCTGAACAGCCAATAAGTACTTTCCTTCTTTTGATTGTCCTAGTGAATGGAGTGCATGAATCATTTGCAACGACAACGACATCCACAACAACAACATCCACAACAACATTGAAACCCACAATATCCCGATACAGTCAACTATTATCGACAAATGGAAAATTAACGGAAATGTCAGATGACAATGAGGACGATATGTTTCGTCCATTTGTGCCCAAAGATCCGGAGGTAATATCACGTAATGTTTTTACACCTTCAGGACAGTTTCGTGTCTTTCAACCCGTTGAAAGTGATTTACGTGCTGCTGTGGCCATGGAACACAGGTCACACAACGATCAAATGACAACAGCCAAGGAGGCATCACCTCAAGCCACAGAAAGTGCAAAAATGACTAGTGAAAATAAACGTGTCGTCGAACATCCACATAATGAAACCACATTGGCCGCATTACCCAGTGAAACACGAAAAACGGTCCGTGATGTGCGTAAACAAAATATCGATAAAAAGCAAAATACAATTGACCAAAATAATGACTTGTCATCCGATCTGAAAAGTTTGGAAGATTTATTGGTTGAATACGTACAGAATTTCTTTGAAAAGGGTGAATATCAACCGTTGCCCGGTTTGGTAGTTGAGTTGCAAAAGAATCGCAGTGACACAACGGATAATTCGCTCAAAGAACACACAAGAAACGTTCGCCAAACATCGAAACCCATTGGTGCCAAAGTGAGCTTGGATGTGCCTCGGACATTGGCCACAGGACGTTTGTTGTTCTTAACAGGTTGGTAAAATATAATTTTAAGGAATTTGTTTTTGATGTTGTTCATAAATTATAATATCCACTACATGTCAAAGGGTATTATATTATTATTTCTGGGATGTGGCAAAAAGTACCCAAACCTGCAGAATAGTTCGTAGACATAGATCATAGTCGTACGAACCAATCCAAACCAATCTGAGTCAAAAACATACTTAATTTTTTTAACATCAAATTTTATTATGAGTCTCCAAAAAAATGTGTAAACTGAATTAATATAATTTAAAACCAGTATAAAAGGTCAAAATTCGGACGGGCCGATTATATGATACCCTACATATAATCGTAGAATTCCCGTAACAAAAGAAAATAACATTGTGAATTTAACAAATTTGACGGAGGCTTTTGTACCTGTAGTACCAAATATCATTGCTGTATAGTGCATGATATGACTTCGATAAGAATTATATTAAAAAATATTTTTTGGAGTAATAGAAATACCGGACCGAGTTTCAACAAATGGAAAAATTCGGCTTAATATGAAAAAATCTCTTCAATTTGGGCTGATATTACATATATGGTGGACACCAACCGCAAATTCGGAAGACGATGTATATGGAAGGTACATACAAACATCCTTGTTGTGCAGTGCATAATACGCATGTGGGGGATATAAAACTCCAAATCGGATGAAACATAGCTATGGCTATATCTGAACCGATTTTCGCTAATTTCTATAGGGTTCGTCTTTGGACCAAACAAATATTATTTGGAAAATTGCATCTCAATCGGATAAAAAATGCTACCTGCACACATACAAGGACAGACGGAATGACATCCATAAATAGACTCAAAATTCTATAAAGATCCTCCAAAAGAATTTTAGATTTATTTAATTCTTTGGTTCCTCTTCTATTGAGCATACGATCTCGTCACTTGGGTAAAAAAATGTTTTTTTGTCATAGAATTTATTTTTAAAATAACTTCTGGGGAGAATATCCCAGACAAAAAACAAGGGAACTGATGAGGATTGGTGGCTCTTTCCGAAACCTAGGTATTCCCTGCCTTACCCCCTGGTTAACATTACCATCGTTCTCCACTAATAAACAAACGTTGTTTTTATAAAAACAACAATAAAGGGATAAAGCCTGACCATTTTGCAACAACAAAATACTACGGTATCCCTAACAAACAAGCCACACTGTGCTATTTTAGAATAAGTTTAGCTTTGTTCGAATTGGTCACCTTTGGCACGAATTTTGACCTTCAGAGCCAATGAAACCGTCACACGCTGTCCGAATGTTGCTCTTCGGTATTTTGGCTTATTCCCGGCGTTTGGTATTTTTTAGTGCGAACCTTGCTTTCCAAAATACTCCAGACACAATAGTCCAACGGATTGGTATGCGGAGATTTTGGTGGCCATTCTGCGCTGGAAATGAAGCGAGGAACCTCATTTTGTAACTATTCTTGGGTGGCGCGATCTGAGTGAGATGGTGCTGAGTCCTGTTGGAATGTCCAAGTTCTACGGCCAAAATGTTTGCGTGCCCAAGGCTTTAATACATCCTCCAGAATATTTTCGCGATAATATTTGGCATTTATTCTGATTCCACGGTCGATTAATACGAGCGGTTTTCCAGCCAAATATGGAGAAATCAGACTATCACGTTTGAATTCCATCACAAATAACTTTGTTTCTGGAAAATGCTTTTGTACGTTTGTAAACAATATAATTAGCTGTCACTGGAATAATTTTAGCTGCTGACGGATGAGTGGCTTAGAAATAAAAGTAGTCTGAAGTTGGTTGCAGTTTTTGTACCCTCTACCATACATAGTATGGAGGGTATATTAACTTCGTCATTCCGTTTGTAACTCATCGAAATAATAATTTTAGACCCAACAAAGAATATATTCTTGATCAGCGTAAAATTCTAAGACGATTTAGCCCTGTCTGTCCGTCCGTCCGTCTGTCCGTTTGTTGTAATCACGCTACAGGCTTAACGAATTAAGATAGAGCGCTAAAATTTTTTCCCAGATCTCTCTTTTATCTGCAGGCAGGTCAAGTTCGAAGATGGGCTATATAGGTCCACGATATCGTATAGCCCCCATATAACGGTACCCTCCGATATTCGACATGTTGATGATTTTAGTTACATTTTTCAACGGAATTGTCTGAAATTCTACACAAGAGGTTTTTTGTGAGGACTTTACCCCCTGACAGAGAGGTTAACGGTATCGTATATCCCCCATATAACGGTACCTCCGATATTCGGTATTTTGATGATTTTAGCCATGGTATTGTCTGAAAATCCACAAAAGGAGTTCTTTGTGAGCACTTTAACCCCTGAAAAGTAATTATCTATATAGGTCCACAATATCGTATATCCCTCCATATATCGGCATTAGATATTTTAAAGATTTTAACAGAATTTTTAATGGATTTTATTTTTGAAAATTTTCTAATTCGTTCCAAATGGTGGAGGGTATTCAAAGTTCGGCCCGGCAGAACTTCCTGCTTTTTTACTTGTTTCATCTCACCTTGTATTTCCGATCCGATATCTTGGCTATCATGATCGGAAGTGACCTTTTAATGTATTTATGATTTGGCCGGGATTAAAAATATTCGCAGGTCAGTGCAAATGTTCTTATTTTTGCTCGGTATATATTGAACGAAGACCATTCGATTTAGTAGGCTTCTTCCCAGCCCTAAACTCTAACGCTATGTAAACTTCCGCGTCGATTGGTCTATAATTGTGGCCTGTATAGCAACAGCAAATTTTTCTGTCATTGGTCCATTACAACCCCTTAATATTTTGGTATAATCCAAAAGGAATATGCTTCTATTTTGACCCTAATCCCACCTCCATTTTCAATTTTATGAGAATCGGGCCATAATTGCGACCTGTAACGTGATTACAAATTAACATGGACGGACATACATAGCTAGATCGACTCAGCTCGGCGACATAGAAAGATCCTATGTGCAGGATCAATATTATGAGTTGTTACATAATTGTTAACCTAATCACATTTCTAACATACCCACACATATTGTCAAATATTTTGTAGGTTCTCATTTTTTTACATTATGACATCTCTACTATTATTTATCAGTGTAGCAGAATACAGCCCAGTTAAAGTCGAAATCAAGTGATAACATTTGTTTGGTTTCCATTTCGAGTGTCTTAGAAAAGCTGGCTATAAATCTTAGCTAAGACACCAAAAACAAATCTTACTACAATAATAATATAAAATACTAATTATCGTTTCTTTTTTCAGGTCTAAAAAAAGTGTTGTGGCCCGTTTTCATGGGGTTGCAGGTCCTTAAATCACTCTTAATTGCGATGTTCATCCCAGCGCTTATTGGTTCGTTTACAAAACTTTTGGGGAAAGGTTAGTTCAAATGTTTATTGAACCTTAATTTACATAATGTAACGAAATAATATAATGACTAACCAAAACTAATAACATGTCACATACATGTGCAGGATTTAATTATTATTACACACATGTCTATTATTTTTTAATTATTATTCACAGAAATTAATTAATGGAAATTTTTAATGTTACACAATTGAAAAAAAAAACAAGTAAGCAAAGGCTACAGTCGAGCGGGGCCGACCGTTGAATACCCTACAACACTATAATAAACGATACAGTTTATATAGGCGAGATACTCGAAAGAATTCCACAAGATATTGTGACAAATAATAAAAGAAAACCATCAGGTTTCGTTCTCTAATTTTCAAATAATAGCAACTTAAACTAATTTGCTCATTTCCAATTTATTGGTAGATGTTGCACTTATATGGTCTTCCTAGATCTGGAACCAATATTTCCCAAAGACCTATAATCTCTCAGAAGTGGCAAAAGATTAACAGTTATTATTGGTTTTTGACTGAAACGCATCTATATGAGATACAGACATTTGACTATATTCTTCAACGAAATAGTCAGAAGTGCGTCTTTTTTGTATTTGTGAATTCTCCAAAAAGTCTCTGGAATGGACATTTTCGTATTTTGTCTACAAAAGTTGGCAAACTATTTCACACATTGAATATTTTGCAATGTGCGGTAACCCCCTTTCAAATGTGCGTGAGGATCGGGCGATAATTAGGACCTGCTGACAATTTTGCAGTTTTTTGGTCCATTTCAACCCCTAAATATATGGCGATCATCTCCAAAAAAGTAGGCTTCTATTCTGACCCTCATCTTATCCCCATGCAAAATTTCGTAAGGATCGGGCCATAAATGCGATCTGTATATGATATCCTGATATCCCAACCACTTAGTTTTGTTAGCTGTAGAAATATTACCAAATGTTTAATTCAAAATGAAAATATGCCAAAAATATGACAAAATTGAAAAAATATGAGAAAATTTAACAAAATCAATATTTTCATCTTTAGAGAGATATTTTTATGCGATTTTTTAGACGTTTTTTCTTTCCTGCCAAGAGGTCATTCTGAATTAATGAGAACTGTCGAAATCAGTTCAGCCGTTCTCGACATATAAAAGATCTTTCAAGCATATCTTCTTTGATAGACATATATATCGCACATATTTTGCTATATATCCGATTTGTTGGATGTTAACATCAATGTAAAGATCAGAAGTAACCTTGTCATGGCTTTATGATTTCGCCGGGATTTAAAATATTCGCGGTTTAATTAAAAATTTTGAATTTTTTCAACACAAAAGATATGGTCTATTTTACCCGCTAAATATTATCCGATGACCACCCAAATTGGTAGGCTTCTTCCCCTCCCTAAACTCCAGCTACATGCGAAATTCCGCGTCGATTGGTCTAAAATTGCGACCTGTATAGCTACTGCAAAATCCGACATTTTTTCAGTATTTGGTCCATTTCAACCCCTAAACATTTGGCGATCATCTCCAAAAGCAATAGGGTTCTATTCTGGTCCAAGCCCCACTTACATTCTAAATTTCGTGAAGATCGGACCATAATTGCGACCTGTAGAGTGATTACAAATTAACATGGACAGACGGACAGACGGACAGACGGACGGACGGACATACATAGCTAGATCGACTCAGCTCGGCGAGCTAGGAAGATCCATATATACTTTCCTATATGGGAAATCAATATTTCGAGGTGTTACTTAAATTCTGGCCCAATCAAACTTATAATACCCCCAACACATAGTGTTGTAGGGTATAAAAACAAGTTGGGTTTCAGTTAAAAAAAAATAATTAAATAAAATAAAAAAATCAACTTGTTGTAAAATCGTTTACAATTATTCTTTCAAATTATTTTAATTTAGGTATCAGTTCGGGTTCGGCACCTTTATTTATACGACCCATGGACCCACCTCAAGAATTAGATTTCCGTGACAACTTTGGCGATGGTGACAAATTCCTTTCAGCTGATGATGTGTTGAATGATCCCTTCCAACCTACAGATGACACCATAAAAGACCATAAACCCTATGCCTACAATCAACCGGGTTTGTTAAACTGAAACCTAAAGTACATTAAAATGATGAATTTTGTACTAATATTTTGCAATTATATTTCCCCCCTTAGAAGCCTCACAATACAGCAATCAATACGCCTACAACAGTGTAGATTCCTCATCGAACCTGGGACCGTTGAGCTTCACACGCCTTGGTATGAACGAACGACAGCATCAGTTAATGCAAAATTCCTATATGGGAGCATTACAGACAATTACATCGGCTTCGTTTAAAAATTCCAATTCAATATCTGGTAGTTCGTCATCACTTTCAGCGCCGATGGTGAATAAACCGGCGGCACCGGCCAACATGAACACATTCCAGCAATTCCAAAAGGTTCCTGCCTCATCATTGCTGCTCTCCAATTATGATCCATTCTATAGCCCGTTGTTATCGAGATTGGATTCGGTATTTGCTCAATTAAAATTGAATTCAGACAATGAAGATTGCCGTGAAAAGGTGATTTGTTTGATGTATGCTAATCCCGCAAAATATGCTCCATATAGCAATCTCGTATCGGCGCAATTAAGTCGGTAAGTTATGATTTCACAGGTAATTGGTTTTTAGCTTGATAAAATAATAAGTGTATATGCCTAAAAGTATGCTTCATTTTTTATCTATGTAACTTTATCAATGTGGTGAATATAAGAATGGTGTAAATCTTTAATATTATTCTTCAACTAGCAGTTACGCAAATTGCAACGAAAAATCAAAAATAATGCTATAAAACAAGGTTGACTAATGACGATTTTATATGTCCTTAAGGAGGAAAAAAACTGTTGAGTCTAAAGGTTTTTAATGGAAAAGTGACCGTCTAGACAGTTCCCATCGACATACACTGACTTATGGCGAGGAAAACATACTAACCCCTATTCAAGCGACATCGAAAATATAATTTGCTCAATTTTTTCTGTTCCCAGGACCTATCCCACTCGAATTCGAGCAAGTTTTTCGGGGGTCTTTTGATATGTAGGGCTAGAACAATTTTAACTCTTAAAGACGAAGTTTCAAAGGCCATTTTTGATTGAACGATCAAAAATTGAAAAAGAAAGTAAAATAATATCAGTAATCAGGCTTATCGATAGATGTATACCCCAGCCTTGAGGTTCCGAAGCAGTTGGACAATATTGACCAATTCGTATCTGACTTAAGATTGATAAATAATATTACAACGTGCCAGATTTGTACTATGTGGACTGCATCCTTTGTATGAGTTATATGCAAATTTTTGGAAAATGTAGAAATATGCATCGGATAAAGAAGTGTTCCATTTTCATACTTCATATAATATAGATAAAAATATTGGTATGTGGAAATCGAACATTAATATCCAATTTTATGCGAAATTATAAATTTCGATAAACAAGATATTCATATCAAATTGCTGGTTAAGATAAATACTGTCCATTTTCGGACCTGACCTAGTACTGTTGCAAATATTAAGCTTCGCAAAGTTGTAATTTATTTCGAACTTTTTTGGTGAAGGTACCAGAAGGAGTGGACCGATATTTCCCATCTCCGAACTCGATTTAAGTTTGATAATAATATTACGATGTACCAAGTTTGAACCAAATTGTTTTTTTTGGAGATTTGTTCCGAAAGAAATTGTATTGCTACACTTTATATACACAACAAACTAAATGCCATACAGTTTGAGGTGGAATTTTAGAATTTTTGCATGTAGGTCCCAATTTTATCGAGGCATAATTTTTTTTGAAAATCTGTACTAATAGGTACTGAGTATTGTACTGTAATTTTAAATTCTGAAATCTATATATATATATATATATATATATATATATATATATATATATATATATATATATATATATATATATATATATATAAATGAAAGTTGTGTTAGTTACTACGCTTATTACTTAAGAACCGCTGAACTGATTTTAATGATTCATACAAATTCGGAATTGTCTCTTATCCGAAAAGGATAATATCGCGTAAAAATGTGATATGTTAAGATTTTCATTTTGACTTTTGAAATGTACAATAGTAATGCATGATTTTTTCCATTTTGACTTACTTTTTTCTAATGTACATTTATAGTGTTTTTTATATTTTATTTTTGAATTCGAATATTAATACCAATTTATTTAATTGCCTTGATTTCTTGAGAACTGAAATTGACGGAAGTGTAGTACCGAATTATGTGGTGGCGAAACGGAATAGATGATACCGAAATAATTTAATGCGGTCACACCAAAGTTAAAAGAAAATTACTTTTCCAAAATCGTTTAAAAAACACGAAAAAAGAGATCTCATTGCAACAATTCTCAAAATGGGAAAATATCGAAAAAAAATTCCAATGGAATTGAATTTTAAAATAAAAGTACATTCTATTGACAAACTTTGTAAGGATCTTTAAACCGTTGCTGTAACAAATCAGCGAACAAGTTAAAGATTTTTTCAATTTGTTATTATTCTTTTGTCAATTTTTTTTAAATTTGTAATATCATATTGAATTCAGTGGATTTTTGTGAACAAAATAAAGAATAATTTTTCACTATATACAATTTTTCACCAAAAAAATGAAATAAGTGCGAAATACGATGGTAACTGACATCTACCTTTCAACTCCAGGGCCTACATCGGGCTTCAGCTGGAAGATGCGCAAACATTTAAACAAACAAAAATGACCGAAAAAGACTAATGGGGCTTATTTCAAAGCGTGGCCCTACTTCTTTCATGTGACAATAATCCGTCCAATGAGAGCTCAACATGCAAAAAATTTTGGGAGTACAATCAGTAAAATACCAAATATAAAGGGTGCAAAATAGTAGAGCGAATGGGACTTTTAGTAAGAAAAGGATTTCTATCCTTCCAAAAATTCTGCCTGAACATTTAAGATACCTTAGATCGCTTTTGCAGGTCATGATATCGATCATAAATAATCATCGTATGATTTAAGCCATTTTTGGAGTCTTCGCCACTTTCTTCTATTTTTGGCCCTTATTTGGCATCTTTGTTTCTAAGGGGGTAGAGAACCTCTTCGCATAAAATTTTCGGAGTAGGGCCCATATTGGTCTTGACCACTAAAAAAATTTATTTATGCTACCCTGGGGTAATGAACCAAGTCCACCTTTTGGCGGACAAACAGACCGACATGGTTAGGTGGACTTATGAGGACTCTAATGCACAATCTGAGGTGCTAATGGGATTAAAAAAGTAATTAACTTTGCCTATTCTTAAATCAATTAGCCCTCAATTATGAGTTGTACAAAGTACAGTAAATTCCAAATTACTGCTCATTTGACTAAAAATTAAAAACTAATCGACCAGTACGTGAACATTTATAACATTCTTATATTTTTGAATAATTATGCTTTGACAAATATGCATAATAGACAAAAACTATGGGCCGGCAACGCGGACCGGGCCAGCTAGTATTTTTATAAAATTCATTCTAAATTTTGGTGCTTAAGTTATAAACTTTCGTTATTAGAATTTTCAATTCATTATTTATAAACTTGGCTACGAAGGTTTATGTCATATGATAGTCCAAAACGTGTCTCATAGAAATAGTCCTAGGTCTCTTTGGACAAAACCATTTCAGGACATTTGAAGTCGATCTAGCAGTGTCTGTCCGTCCGTTTGTCTGGCTGAAGCGCTTTCTCGAAGGGACGATCCAATTTCTTCTAAACTTCAGTTCGTAATACTGTTATCAAACTTAGATCGACTTCGGAGATGGGCAATATCGATCTACTCCTTATGGTGTCTCTGCCACAAAGTATCAAATTTTTAAAAGAATATTATTCAACTGATAGAAAGAAAGGGTCATCCGATTTTATTCAAATCATCCCAATATTTCTACTTCTCTTATCTGCGGCTTTGATCTCAAATTCTGTACTTCAAGAGTTTAAACCTTAAAATTTCGCTCTTTTGAAAAAGGTTTAACTTTTACAATTTCTTACGAAATGTACAATGATAGAATTAAATGCGAATGAGATGAGTTTAAATTTTTAGAATTCTCCAAAAATTTTAGAATTTGTAAATACGAGCGTATATTAGCATTTGTATGTGAAATAAGGTGCAGCTTTTGTAATTTTAGAACTAGAATGAGTTAGCAGTTTTTCTGATAACGTTAAAATATTCTCAGCTGGAATCTAGACATTTTGCAGGAAGATACATTTAAAACTTTGATATGGCCTGTAATAAGTCCAGATTCCTCGTAATGTATAATTAAGGGGTATGATCTGTTCTAAAATTTCAAAATGGTACATAAAATGAGCAATGGTATTGATGAGCATTTTACGAAGTGATTTGCACACTGAAAACTAAAAGTAGTCGCTCGAAAACAGCAAGAACTTTAAATTTGTAATATTTACCTTGGTGGAGGAGTGTTCCCGGGTACACACAAAATTGCTAGGTATTTCTTTCGACATGTCCATAATAAAAGAATGGGTGGTAACCCATAAAAAAGGATAATTGTTCCATTAAATCAAAGAGAAAAAATAAAATGACATCATTTCTGAATTTCACAAAAAGAAAAAAAAAACATGTCACACGTCTATAGAATAAAATTTAAAATGATTTGAAAATTATAGATAAGTTGTAATATGACAAGTAAGCAAAGGCTATAGTAGTGCGGGGTCGACCATGTGATACCCTACAACCCATAGCCTTTTGACCAGGGACATTTGCCCAATATTGACGCACTCCTTCTAAATAAAATCCAATGGTCATCCAATATGCTGGAATTCTTCCCTGTCCTCAACTCTCTTCTCAGGCGTATCGATTGGCTTCAATTGTGTAATCAGGAATTTTTTTCTATTTTTGGTTCATTTGAATCCCTGAATATTTTGCGATCATCTGCAAAAGCAAGAGGACCCTCCGTATCTCCAAATTTAGACTCATCTATATGACTTGCTTGTCTACGATATTTGGCTATATTCGTCAACGAAATCAACATAAAAAAGCTAGATGTTCGCCCTTGGTGTATTTCGGTTATCGCCTATAATTAATGTTGGTATTTTTTCACGCAAAAGTAGTGGTACATTCTACCCGCTGTCTAAACTCTTCGCGATTATTTATAAATATATTGCAGACATCTTTGAAAACAATAGGCCTAGCCTTTCTGAGCCTAACTCTACCCTTAAGCAAATTTTCGTGAGGATCGGACGATAATTGCAATCTGTAAATAATATCCCCAACCTGTGTTGTAAGATGAAAAAAAAATTACAAAATGTACTCTTAAATATTTTAAGTCAAAGTGAAAAAATCACATGCGACAAAAAAAAAAAATTCGAAAAACTAAAAATATGTCACAAAATACTACAAAATCTATGTTAACATCATTATTGGCATATTTTATTCAATTTTTAGATTTTATTCTTTTATACCAATAGGGCATTCTGAATTGACAAAACTTGTCAAAATCGGTCCAGCTATTGTTGAGATATAAGCACTCCAGCTAACATCGCCTTCCTTTGAATACACAAAATGTATATATTTCGCTATGTATATTCGATATATTTACTATCGGAATCTGCCCAGCCCTAAGTTTTAGTCCCATGCTAACGTCCCCATGGTCTATAATTGCGACCTGTAGAGCAATAAGTCAGGAAATTTTTCAGTTTTTGGTCCATTTCGAATATTATGAGATCAAAAGCAATAGGCTTCTATTCTGGCTCTAGCCCCACCCCAATTCTACAATTTTTGACCCAATCAAACTTATAATACCCTCAACACACAGTGTTGTAGGGTATAATTATAAATAAGTTGTAATATGAAAATGGGTTGCCATTACCGATTTGGCAAATGAGATTACCTTGTTAATTCTGCTAGTGCGTACCTTTCCCACCTATAAGGCTGAATGTGTAATTAACAAGAAGAACACATCACTTTTACACCAGAAACACTGTTTGTTAAATGTGAGTCTGACAATAGATACAATTTAAACTTATTTTTGATTTCGGCGAACTCCCTATTTGCCACTCCTTTAAGAAATAAATTCTGCCTTTACTTAAACATTTCTACTATGTACTGCATGTTTATTGTTTAATATGAATAAGTTATTTTACTTTGCACTTGTAAAGTGATAATATTATTTTGATGTCTATTAACAAACATACAAATAATAAACAAAAAAGAATTTCTGGAAAACAAACATATAAATTTTCATACCGTAGCTCAGACATTACGAGTGAAAACAGAGTATGTGACTTGACTAAGATTTTTCCTGTTAATTCCAAAATTTTTTCTTTTAAATAAATAAAAGCAAAACTAGAAAAGTCTGCTCATTTCAGTTTACAGAAGATTCTGTTTTGAAAGGTCGAATTTATTTAAAGTCTTAAGTTTCCAAGAAGTAACTGATAAGACTAGGGAAAAGTAATTTGAATTTTAAAAATTTCAAATAATAATAACAATAATACATTGATGAATCGTTATTACAATCTTACTATTAAAATATTAATAATAAGCCAATATCTTTCTCTTTCCAGAGAATTAAATGAATTGCGTAAGCCAACCTCAGATAATCCCGACATTCTACGTTTCTTCAAATACATGCGGGCGGCTAAAGATGGCCAAGACGGCGTTGACTGCGAACAAGCATTTGAGAAATGTACGGAATTTAAAGATTTCGAAAATCCTGCAATGGTTTCCACATATCATGACATAAACAAATTGGTGCAGGCGAGAAAAATGGCATAATGGCAAAATGAATTTGAGTAATGGCAAGAACAGCGTCGAAACGAAATTTGACTATTTGTATATGAAAAAAAATGTATGAACATTTTTTAGTTCTTAAGTAGAAACAAATGAGCCATAGACATTTTTAGATTTTATATTAAATTATTTATTTATTTATTCTCTAACTTAATTATTATTTAATTTATTTATTAATTTATTAATATATTTGTCAGTTTATTTATTTAAAAAATTATTTATTATAAAATGAATGAATATGTTTAATATCAAGAAAAAAAATTAATTGTCCTAGAATATAAAAATAAAATTATTGTAGATAGTAAGAGTTTTATGCTATTGACAAACATAGATATGTTGTAGACAATGCAGTTTTGACCAAATGACCGAATGACCAAAATAATTGTACTCATAAACTCATACATGGTAATCAAAAAAGTTTTGTTTTCGAAATTTAAATTCCATTCTTTAGGATCCGACGTGGAATTTCATAAGAAAATCTGAATATCTTCTATTTCTATAAAAGAGGAAAATTTTTGTATATTTGTTTGTTTGTAATTTATGGAAAATTTCCCTGAAAATTTCCAAGTATACTACAACATCGCCTGAAAGTAACATAGGCTATTTAAATTTTTGAAAATCCACTTGGAACTGGACATATACAGGTTGCCCATATTCGACGGACCCATGACTCTTTGGGCCCATTCCAATCGACGAGGCTTGTCCGCAGGCAACATTCTTTGCGTCAATTGAATTTTGTACGTGAACAAATGCAAATCAATGCGAATAATCCGTTGTAAAGTGGACCGAGCCATGCCCAACTTCTGAGAACGGAGTTTTGGGATGTTCTTGGGGACCTCTCAACACTGGCTCGTACGGCAGCGATATTCTCGGCCGATCGCCTTGGTCGACTTTTATATAGCCTCTTCGGATTAGAAAGAGCCTTACCAGTCGAAAATTTTTCGTATAACGCTGAATGGTGTTCTTAGAAGGCGCACTTATCACATTTTTAATGTTTTAAAAGCACGTTGAGTTTTCACAATTGACTTCTTCTGTTGAATGTAAATTTCAACTATTTCAGAGCGCGTGTATTGGTTCATGGTAAAAATCTACTTGGACTGACGCTTCAAATGCGGTATGTCATTAAGCGATGTGACATCTCTGTCAAAAGTTATGACATTGCCAGATGGGTCCGTCGAATATGGGCAACCCTGTAGCATGAGAATCGGAGGTACCTACCAAATATGTTGGATTTTATATGCACATATCTATTGATGGATTACAATTACAGTTTACAAATTTGGAATGCGTAATGGGATTTTATCAGCAAATATGTTTGCCAAATTATATTGATATCGGATTTGGATATAGCTCCCATATATATTTTGGGCAGATTTCACATATTCGATGCACCAAGCACGACATGGGTGACTAAATTTGGTACAAAATGTATGTTCGATTCCAATAAGATTTGAAATGTGTGACGGGATTTGATCAGAAAATAAATTGGTCAAATTTTATTGAATCGGTTGCGATTTGGATATGGGACCTATATATTTTCGTCCGATTTCATATATTCGATGCACCAAACACGATTCGTATGTCCGATTTTAATGAAATTCGGCATGAGTGACTAAATTTGGTACAAAAATAAGTTTATCAATTTATATGCAAATCGGTTCAGATTCTCCAAACTCGATATTGGAATGAGTGACGGGATTTAATCAGAAAATAAGTTTGCCAAATTACATTGAAATCGGTACATATTTGGATATAGATACCATATATATTTTCGAACAAACGCGATATGTATGTTCGATTCCAATGAAATATGGAAGGAGGTAACGGAATTTGGTGTAAAAGTTTATTTTGTTAAATTATATTGAAATCGGTTCAGATTGGGATATGATTTTATTAAGAAGCATTGACAGTAAAAAACTACACAACAATTTAATCGAGGATACGATTATTACGGGGAAGTATGTTGCTACCTCGAATTCACTAATTGCAACAGAAATACTTCAAAAGATTGCAGTTTCTTGCACGCTTGGCATTTGCTACGAAATTAATAAATCTGAAGGGCAACCCCTTGGTGTATGTGGACAAAATTCGGCATGTCCCTCCTCTGCTCATGGTCAGCTGTTCTTGGAATGTTCATGCGTTGGTAGATCGAGTTATTTGTTTGTTGACGCATTAAAGTATTACAATAATTTCGTTTTATTAAATTTTTGAATTTTTTTTATTTGTTTAACCAATAAATATTCCTATATAAAATTTTGAATGCAGATAAAATCAAAAGGTGTAGCGAAGCGCACCGGGTTCAGCTAGTTATTAACAAACATAAATGTGAAATTTTATATTCCGGCATAATATCAACCCAAAAAATACAATTTGTTAAACTGCATAATTTTCTACATAATTTTGTCAATAATATTGTAATGTATATATATATTCGAGACATAAATTTTAATGTATATTAATTAATATTAAAAATTAATTTATTATTTTCTTTTTATTTATTGATGACTATTGCTGACTTTCTGTGGTCAATTCCTAATAAATGATTAAATCGTATAATGTAATAATTCATATTAGTTATTTATTTATTGATAACGACTATTACAAAAGCTTAATATTTTATAACCATATTTCACATTTGGTAGTCATTACTTGTTAGCAATTATGTTAATATATATGTTGCAAATTGTAATAAAATATTTAAAAACACAAATATTACAACATCAAAGTTGTTTTATTTTCAGAATCATTTAATCGGCTTTGAATTTTATGTTGATCAAGAATTTTTGGAAGGTTGTAATTTTCAGAGTAACATCATAAAATTGATTTAAAAGATTTTCACCAAAATAGTGGGGACTGTAATCTGGTGATATATGTTTTTATACCCTACAACACTATGTGTTGGGGATTATAAGTTTGATTTAGCCAAAAATATGTATCACCTCGAAATATTGGTTTCCTACATGGGAAAGTATATATGGATCTTCCTATCTCGCCGAACTGAGTGGATCTAGCTATGGTGGGTCTAGAGCCAGAATAAAAGGCTATTGCTTTTGGAGATGATCGCATAATATTTAGGGGTTGAAATGGACCAAAAACTGAAAAATTGCCTGATTTTGCAGTTGCTCTACAGGTCGCAATTATTGACCAATCGAAGCGGAAGTTAGCATGGGGCTAGAGCTTAGGGCTGGGCCTTTCAATTTTGATGGACATCGGGTAATATTTAGTGGGTGAAATAGATCATAACATTTGTGTTAACTAAAAGTCATATTTTCCACTAAACCGCGAATATTTTTAATCCCGGCGAAATCACAAGTAGACGAACAGGTCAATTCTGACCGTTACGTAGATGCCGATAGTAAATATACCTGATATATATATATATATATATATATATTTCATTTTGACTTTTCAAATGTACAATAGTAATGTTTTATTTTGCATGATTTTTTTCCATTTTGACTTACTTTTTTCTAATGTACATTTGTAGTGTTTTTTTATATTTTATTTTTGAATTCGAATATTTATACCAATTTATTTAAATGACTTGATTTTTTGAGAACTGAAATTGATGGCGGGTTACATGGAAGTGTAGTAGCGAATTATGTGGTGGCGAAACGGAATAGATGATATCGAAATAATTTAACGCGGTCACACCAAAGTTAAAAGATAATTACTTTTTCTAAATCGCTGAAAATCATGAAAAAGAGATCTCATTGCAAAAATCAAAAAAACATTTTCAATGGAATCGAATTTTAAAGTAATAGTACATTCTATTGACAAACTTTGTAAGGAAGGATCTTAAAACATTTGCTGTAAAAAATCAGCAAAAAGTTGAAGACTTTTTCAATTTGTTATTCTTTTTTTTGTCAATTTTTTTTTTTGTGAACAAAATAAAGAATAATTTTTCACTAAAATAATTAAATAAGTGCGAAATAGGATGTTAACTGACATCTACCTTTCAACTCCAGGGCCTACACCGTGGGTTAGCTGGAAGATGCGAACACGTTTAAACAAACAAAAATGACCGAAAAAGCTTAATGGGGCTCATTTCAAAGCGTGACAATGATCCGTCCAATGAGAGCTCAAAATGCAAAATTCTTTGGGAGAATAATAAGTAATATACCAATATTGAAATAAAAGGTGCAAAATAGTAGAGCGAATGGGACTTTTAGTAAGAAAGGGTTTTATATCCTTCCAGAAATTCTTCCCAAACATTCAAAATACCTAAAATCACTTTTGCAGGTCTTTATATCGATCATAACTCATGGATAAGGGAACAACCCGATTTCATATTTATATAACCATCTATGATTTAAGTTATTTTTGGGGTCTTGGCCGGCCACTTTTTTCATTTTTTGGCCCTTATTTGACATTTTTGTTTCTAAGGGGGTAGATAACCTCTTCGCATAAAATTTGAAATTTTCAGAGTAGGGCCCATATTGGTATTGACCACATTCATCAATTGATTTGGCTAAAAAATTTTATTGATGCCACCCTGGGGTAGGGAACCATCATACAGATAATTGCCACATAGGAATTTATTTAAGTAAAGTCCCCACATTGGAGTATCCCCAAGTCCACTTTCACATCTAATGTGTGGTCAGAAAAGAAAATTTTGTATTCTATTGAATTTTTAACCCCCAAGAGAATATTGGTTGGGAACGTAGATTTGGGATGTGCATCCATATGAAATAAATTGTGGAAACACGAACAAGGGAAGGGGTTGTTAGCTAGAATGCTTATATCTCAATAATGGTTGGACCAATTTTGACAAATGTTGTCAATTCAGAATGCCCTCTTGGCATAAAAGTCTAAAATATAAAAAATCGCATGCCATGATGCCAATAACGATGTCAATATAGATTTTGCAGTATTTTGTGCATTTTTTTTTTAAATTTTTCATATTTTTATCGCATGCGATTTTTTCAATTTGCCTTATAATATTGAGGTGTATATTTTGTAATATTTTTCATCTTACGACACAGGTTGTGGTTATTATATACATATTGCAATTATCGTTCGATCGTCATGAAAATTGTCATAACGGGTTAGGCTCAGAAGGGCTACGCCTATTGTTTTCAAAGATGTCCGCAATATATTTAGGGGTTGAAATGGATCAAC